CTCGTTTTTTTTAGCTAAAATAATTGTTGCTGCCGCCTGTGACTAACTGTCCGCATGTTCGTTCCTAACTGTCCTTTATGATGTTATCGGCAAAATGAAAGGAAACAATCTCCAGTTTTCAATTTTCTTCAGTACTATGGACAACACTATCCCACCAACGAGTCAAATTAATACTGAGTGCATAGCAGTAGGGGATATCAGTATTGTTTACGAAAGGACTCAGACTTCCGATAATCATAGATGAAGTCACAGATGCTACCAATGTATTGCAGAGGGTTTGTCATGAAAAATATGTCATATAGCAGTAATAGAGGGGTTGTATTCAATACGTCGTGCGTTAAAGCAAGCTTAACATTGAAAAGCCGGAAATCTGCTATCAGTGTGTAGTGCATGTTCGCTGTTTTGGCGATCAAAGGGAGCCGAAGGGCTATGATCAGGGAGTAAAAAGGTAATTAACTGTTATTAAGCTCACTTTTTTATAGATCATATTTCACCACTCACAAATTTGTGTTTTTTAAGGTATGATGTCAACCGGTACCTAATATGTTCACCCTTATGATGAAAAGTACCTGCAAATTTTCACCTCCATATTCGAATTATTTTTGGACAACTGTCTTCCAGTTTGAGTGCTTCGTGCGCCCTGGGAAACTAGATTCCTACATTATTCGTAGTTCCAGTATAACTTTCTCACGCAGTAAGTTCAAAATAGACACTAGTATTTCTAAATAAGCCTGTTAAGCTAATATCCGTATTCTCTATTTCAGTTAATCGATGAAGACATGTACCACGTGCATCTACTGTATACTGCCATTTTACTCCAATTCTAACTGTTATATCTTAATTCTGAAAAATATAATTGCTATATGCAGCAAATACAGACTTATTTCTTTTCATGGAGATAGGGGGGTTCATGGGATTTTTAGCAGGACTGTAGCACTATTCTCACTAAAGAGCTAAGCGAGTGCGTAAACCAATGTAAGGTACCATACAGGGTGCCTTTGAGTTACTAGTGTTCCATTAGTGCGGGTAGGGGTATTGCTTGTTTATCATATTGCATTTGAATAAGGAGCTATAAGATTAGACGCGGGTACGGTTAGGGTGTGTAACGCGTGTCCATCCATCAGCTGCCGTGACAATTCATGGTGGTTAGAATATGTTATGATGGGACCCGAGTCTGTAGGTTTCCCAAGAAAATGACGAAGATATGTACTAAATAACTTAAATTTACTACATGTGAACTAGATGCTGAGAGGCTCGTATATCACAAGTTTCTTGCAACGATTAAGTAGACAAAACAAAGTAGCATTAGATTTAAAAATTTATTCAGGAACTCTCATTAATAATCGAATACCAAACAAAGGTTTAAATGAAGTCTCCTTCTAAAAGTTGCACTGGTAATGTTGAGAGGCAGTCTTTGTTGTTTTTTCCAAACGAAAGGGTAAAAGAAGTAACTCAAAAAGTACTGGAAGTGGCTGTTTGACTAAAATGGACATCCAGCATCCTTTTTATAATCTGCTGTTAGTTGGGTCTCCCGTAAACAGTTTCATAGGGCCATAGTTCTAAGGGTGAAACGGTTCTTAGGATCTGTGAAGGCTCACTCCTGTTGCATTCTAAAGGAGAAAATAGTAGTGAATTTAGTCAGAAATGTGGAATAGATAAATGGTTGCAAAATCAGATGAATTCCAATAGTGAAATAAGACCACAGAATAGACAGACATCATCATCCATTGCGAAACATTTGATTGAGACGGGCCATAAGGTTGATATCAAATCAGCATTTGTTGTGTTGTTCAAAAGCCTTCAAGGACGTATACTAAGGTTTATTGAAGCCTTGGCTATACGAAAATTGAAACCCCCTTTATGTGTTCAAAAACAATTTGTACTTACACTTAACCTACCCTGGTAGTACTGATTTACTGTCCAGAGTGGTAATCACATTTGTTTTTGTGTACTTTAATATTTTTTACTTTATTATGACTTACCCTTAACCTGTCTAGTTGACCTTTTAATTTTTCATATATAAATGTTCTTAACAAGTATATGTGTGATCAGATTGTTCAAAATGTATTGCGCAAATATATCACATAATTCTGATAAACTACGTCTTCTCATTGCATTATCGAAATAGATAAATAACCAACTTACATGTTTTTTAGCAAAGAATTTATGCAGTTGTGATTTACCTTGAGTTCATGAATATTAGATCAGGTCAGCTACTATTACTTGTGCAAAGCATAACATGGACTTAGTACCGTATCGCAATGCTTTTATTATTTTACTCTCATTTAAGTATCCCCATGCATCTGCGTCTAGTTTAACAGGAAGACATACAAGCAGAGTGAAGATGGCACAGGTATTCAGTGTTTGACAACGCTTTTACCAGTAACATCTAATGTAACTTGTACCCACCAAGAGAAATCAAAAGACAGAATCGAGGAGATCAGAAGTTGTATTTGACGATTACCAATATGTAGGAATTGTCTGATCTAGTCTGGTTAGCGATTGTAGATGCTGAGCACGGCGTTCCCACACGTGGTCTGGTGCGGATGCATGACCGAGCGCCTTCAGCTAGGTGAGTCAACTAAAACTAATCTGGTCAGAATCCAATGTCGAAAGCTTACAGAGCTATTTATTTTGGGGATTTATTTACCGCTACAACAGTTAGTGTCCGATAAACTAAAGGTCCCAGTTGTGAAAAAGATTCTTAACATCTGTTCACAGCCAGCTGCATTTAATTGAGACACAGAACACTCATCTTCTAAGACTGTATACTGCTCTTCTGCAGGCAAATAAAAGCTCAGACACTTAGCTATCCTGCTACCGATGTTATTGCTGGGGAAATTGTTTAATGACAGTGGTCTTGAAACATGAACAGTGTTAGACGTACTGTCTACAAATAAACACTAAACGTACTTAAAGCTATCTTATAATATCTGACAGCAACAGAATCAAAGGCACGTTTTTTCCTATTTTTAATCAGACTGATTCGAATCAATATACTCACTAAAAACAGGCAACTCTACCTACTGAAGTGATCCGTTTCGTTACAGGCTTTAAGCACTGTACTTAAGTATACTATAATTCTATCGACTAATCTAAATTACAACGGCAACCAAGAGTACTAAACTAAACAAGTGTCATAATTATTGTTCCATTTGCACAGACATGTTGCTAAACGGAGTAAAATGAACATAATTCAGCCGATAAAACCAAAACACGAAATATAGGCCATTTGAACTTGCCTAACAGAAGACGAAGGATAGATATATATTGCTTTCAGACTGAAGACAACAGTCAGTTGTTCATAAAAACATAGTCTACAGTACAACAAACCTTTCTTCAGTAACATCATGCACTGACGGTCTATCTGTAAACAATAAACGATGTGATTAAACTAACTATGACTTGAGATATCATTCCTGCGTGCAATGAACGTACAGTGTAGCGCAATCGGACGTGGCGAATGAAAATTAAAAAGAGCAAAATTAACAACATAATCTAGTTATTTGATTAAAAATACATTATGAAATGACAAAATCTGTGGTTACTTGAACGCACAGATGACCGTTATTACACTGGGCGATACATTAAGTTTACATGGTTGCGTTGCGAATTAATTCATCGGACAAACTCGATTGGCTTTTATGATTTCGATAAGACTGATCATCAAAATCTCTGTCTGGAACAAATTAGCTGAAGGTATTTGGTATTTGATGGGATTGCTTTCGAACTGATTGAATTTCAATGTCAAATAAAGTCCGTCAAAGGTTAACCTTTGGACCGCTCATTTTTATATAATCTATCAACGATTGATCTGAAACCATATACACTAAAACCTTGATATATACTGACGGTTGTAGGATATTAAGAGATTAAACGTAGGACTGATGTCTATTCAGGATGAATTGAATAGTCAATGGCATTTCCTCCCGAATTTTAGGAAAGGCAAAATCCTAATGGTGGAAAATGATGATGCTCTGTCCACCAGAGTAGCCTAACCCAAATACCGCTTAAGACTGTCTATATTGATTACTTAAAATCTTATCTGGGAAACCCACTTGGATTAAACTTTTCCTTGAATGCAATATCACTCTCTTGGAACATATTCAGGGACGAACAACCAAAAAGCCCCGAAACTAAAAAAACTTTAATCACCTTGCCTGGATGCTCCAAGTTGGCTACCTGCACAGTACAATAGGATTAGAAGACTATGACCTTAATGTGTCGTATTGCTGGTAACACCGTCAACCCAAGCGGATTACAAACACATTTCATTACCAAACAATGCACAAAAGGTTATCCGTTTAGGATAGAATACAAACGATGTTGCACAAAAGTCAATGCAAAATGCTTCGTGATAAGAGTCAACATATTATCTAACTTCACATCAGAAGCAGTAGTGATGGTTTCTTACACTGAGACTTTCAAAATAACGCTTGATGTTTAGTTACTGGGGGTGATTACCATTGGTGTTACATAACGACTACTTTAAAGATGCCACAAGTGTTCTGCGTTTGACAACGCTTTTACCAGTTACACCTTTACAATCGAAGTATGAAAAACCAGTCAAATTATAAGTAGGGAAGTTCTGAGTTATATTTTAAAAACTGTTGATGTCTCGGAAAGCGTTTGATCTAAGCTGGCTAACGGTTGTAGGAGACACGTAACACGGAGTACTCGTTTGTGATCTGGTATGGATGCGTGGCCAAGTACCTTCAGCTAGATGTATCCATTAGAACAAGTGAGGTTGGTATCAGTGTCGAAGACTTAGAGAACTATTTTTTTGGGGATTTATTTACCTCTGCAACTTATACCATAAGCAACTACTTGGTTTTACCCTCCGATTAATGAAGAAAAACAACGAAGATTATACCTTCACATCATCATTAATGATCTTCGACCGCCCATACGCAGATTACAGGGACCATATAGTCGACTAATCGTGCCGAGAAAGGTTTGATGTCTGGGGCCTGAATATGTTTAACGAATTTCTGGCGGTTGGTATGTTTTCTTACGCTAGGTCTGGTCTCCTTTATTGGTCGTCGCCTAATAGGAGTTATACTAAAATGTAGGTTGCCCCAACCCATGTAAATTTTGGGTAAAAATGTTTATCTCATTAAACCAAACAGCTCATTGCTATAGGCTATCGTCAGCTTGATAGAGTACGGCGCATACTTATGTATAGTTATTAAAATGGATACTTTTCTCTATACTTTCGAGAACTCGTATACATGCTAGTTGTTTGGTTAGCACAGTAATGTTTTTCACCCTCACATCTTCTATACAGAGGGTTATTCTATAATGAGTTTGTTACATAAATTTAGCATGAGCTTTTATTACGTAAGTTATTCACTAATGAGCTTACTATACGACAACTTATTTGTAAGTAATACTAGATAATAGTCTTTGCAAAATGCAAATAAAAGCGTATACTCTATGGCATTCAGCACTTTGTATTTCTCAAGAATTGTAACATGTATGTCGTAGTCACGTAGTTTAGGTAGTAGAAATAATTCATGGGATATACTACATGCATTTCAGTTAGCAGTGAACTTTCGTTAGTTATTGTCGAAGGAAAAACTAATGTGTTTTGAAATTTAACATAGATACCCAATTGTTTTTAAACCAAAGTGAGAAAAACAGTACTTAAGTTAAAGGCTATTCTTAAGGTTTAAGAAGTGCAGTCCTACAGCGTTTAAGAAGTGTTAGTATCCCTAAATCTAAATAATATGTTGATGAGGTAATGATGGTGATCCGGAATAAGTGATACTTGGGGACATTGGTCTAGTACTGTCGTTGGATACGGATTTTTCCCATGTATCCTAGCAGTAATTAGCAGGTCTGCTCTGCTGATCAACGTCTTATTAAAGTTTTAAATTAGAAAACAAGTATAATGACTAGACTATTGTATTTAAAGACTAATTTTGCAGCATATAAGAATAGAATCATTATTCATATAATTTTAATTACCAAGTAAGTTGCTTAGTTTTGTTCAAGTAGATTTCTGGTACATTTCAACAAGCAACATTCAACTTATCATCTATAAATTAGTTTACTGTAAGATATCTTCCGTCAGAGGTTTAGTATGTTTAGTGACCATATATCTTGCTGTCTCATTTACAGTTCTCAGGGCATAGAGCACTAGCATTTGCTCTTACATATATTTTTGCTTCCTCACTTGGTAGAAGTTAGTTTTTTGTAGGCATTCACCATGTTTTTCCTAGTCGAGTCTTTTGAGTTAGATAACCACATAATTATGGCGGGTTGTATCTGTAAAAACTTATTTAGTACTTGTCGTATGGAATATGACAATCAGAATATTCCACGTCGTTTTTATGTAGTATTCTTGTAACGACTTCATTTTCCAATAACTATGTCCAAACAACACTTTGTTGCTGTTAAAACCTGGTTTGACCAATTTTGGGAAAGGCAATAATCTGTTCTTTAATAGACATGCTTGTACGCAGTTGTCAGCGTTAAGAGTTTGTGGTTCAAAAGTTTTGTACTGATAACACTATTGATCCATACAGTATTATCAAAAGGTTAGAATATGATTAGCTGTGGTCTACAATCTTTCGAATCACACCTGCCTAAGTACTGGACCTCAAATACATTCTCCGACTTCTATGTACAAATATGGGTTTCCGGTTGTCCAGTGGAAGTATTAGTTTAAAGCGTTGTTGTATTTGCTTTTCCAGAGATCAATATCTCTGTTTTTTTTGCCCTAACTAGCACTGACTAACAATCGGAAACAGATTTGTTAATATTTGCCCACACTCGCCTTACGTCATAAAATTTTACGTAGATACTATGAAGATACTCATATGTTACAATGTGTTTGGCATTCACTTTGACACATTTTACTTTATCCTTATACGTAGAGTTTCCTGATGTGCTGCATTGTGTAGTGATTTGTCGTAATCGGTGGTTATCATAATCAAGATTTTTCTGCTTTGTGCACTTTAAAATGACGTCTACGAAGCCTGGAGAATGGGTCATGCAGGCTCTACTTCGTCAGTTAACCAACTTAGCCCAATTGAAAATTGAGAAAGCACTTGAAGATGGTCAAGAAACAAATCTCGTGAAAAGCATGAAACTGAATGAAGATGCAGCCTATGAACATCTCATAAGTGCTTTTGGTGTTGCCGCCGAATTCGCTCTTCCTTCAATCTTATCTACACTTTCACTATGGTATAGATCTCAGCACTCATCTGGGAAATATTATCAATTCCACCAGTTTCAGTCTTTAAGTTCAGCCAATGAATACATTGGAAACGCTACTTCAATGGCAGTCCAACGTCCTTTAGCTAACGATAGTAATCCTGTTGTTGAAAGCCAACAAGTTTCATATCTTACTGCCAATAAATCAGAAAAGACTATCAAATGTGCCTCAGAGTCATCTTCGCTGTCGAAATCCCATAATTTACATTTACCAGAGTTATCTGTTCTATTTGAACGACGTGATGTATGTTATCACACATATCTATATTACATTTTAATTCCAGCTTGCCATTGATATTATATTTTGTCATGTCATGCTTGCAGTTTTAAAGCAATTGCCTTTTCATCCAGGCCATAATGATGTTATTGAATCAATCTTAGAGCAATGTTTCGGAAGATTCAACTATAGAGAGGAGTAAGTCTTTTGATGTTATTTTTAAAATAGTGCTATTTATGACCGGATAATGTAGAATAGCCGTAAGTTACAATAATTTTTTATTCATATGATTATACAAGTTAGCAAAAACTTGTAAATCTCAACTTAAATTCGTTCTTTCAAATTTTAATCATCACACGCGGCTCTCATATATTTGGACAGCTCTTATTGTTTTTCTACCGATTACTCTTTTTTATTGGTGCTGTGACCATTGAAAATGTTTTTGTTTTTGAAAAAAATACAGTTTGCAGCCGAAAAATAGTGAAAATATAAATCTCGTCGCTGATCTATACGCAGAAATTGTCGGACTGTTATTCCAGTCAAGGTAATTTTGTTGCACGTTTTTTTAGTTTCTTGTTTTTTAACTATATACGTACGATATAAATGCATGCAACTGTTTTAAAATGAGACTTTTGTTTCGTAGATTTACAGTAGGTAGTTCGCTTTTATCTCAAACCCCAAGTTTTTTGTTTGTGTATGTTCAGCTGTTCATAAGCATTAGTTAAAATTCCCTTATCTAAATAGCGCTTTATTATTATCTTATCTCCGGAATGTTAATTGGATTTAGTACTTATCTAGACATAGGTATATTACACCTATAAGTGTTTAAGATTATTGTTTCTGATACTATTGCTGATAGTGACAAATAGTGGTATGATGAATCCTGATGGCTTAACGCTTAGCATATTCGATAATTAATAAAAAATATGCGTACATCACTATATCATATGCTATTCTAGACAGCTCACCGAGTTTACTTACAAAACACTTTCAAACAAAAGTTTTCGATTAAGGTTTACTGTGCTGTAAGATACTGTATTCGTAGCTCTCTCGTATATTTTTGTTCTATACTCAGATTTGCTCTGGTACGCTACAAATTTATGAGTTGTCTGAATGATCTGCGATCTAAAGAAAACAGTCAAAATAATAGAGCTAGTATTGTATCTCTTATAATGGGGATGAAGTTTTTCCGGGTTAAAGTAAGTTTTTTTTACCGGTAATTATATCAATAAATTTAGATAAATTTGCGAATTATAAAGCTAAATTAAACAGTGCAGAGTAGGCTTTTTATCACTCAGATGTCTTTCACATTATGTGACCTATTTAAGCGGAATATTTCCGTCATTGAACCACTAAATTATCCAGAGTAGATATTTTTATGTTAAACTGCATTACATAAGTTAGTGTGCGGCCAAACGTATCGTTTTAATGGTCTATTCACGAGGTTTTGATTTTCGTACAGATTCCTCAGTTGTCTACTAGGTGTTTCTGATTATATTATTGTCATCACTTGACAATAGTGTACCTGTATATATATATATATATATATATATATATATATATATATATATATATATATATATATATATAAAGTTCAATAATTATCTTTGATTTAAGTAGTATCCAGTACATATTCTAATGTCTTAATTTTTACGACGCATACAACCTCGCCTCCAATGTTAATATTATCAGTCACATATATTCATACAGGAAATTCATCACAATTATTCATAATATAACCTGCCATTAATAAATCTGTTAACGGGACACTGGTAAATATTGTTGTTCTCTAAGTCATTTCTCGTTAGCGTCATTTCTCAGTATAAAAGTGTTAATCAAAGTTCATTTAAGAGACTGGTCTGAATTTCACAACTAGATCAGTAACCTGGGTAATTTTTGCATGATTCAAATAAAACCTAATCAGTTTCGAATAAGTCCACTAGTCTAGTGTTTCGACCTTAAATCAAATGTAGTATTTATTAGCTATTCTGTTTGTAATTAATTATACAAATAACCCAAGACCGTAACAATGAAATTAGTCTATGCTGTTGAAGAAATAGTGTTTCATTTACTACATTTTAAGTATTAATATGGTAACGCTCTCTTTCGAATTATAGTCCGAAGGTTTGTTAACCTCCCCGTAGTAAAGCTAATAAAATCACAGATTTTGTTGTTGGAAATTTTTATGTTGTCTGGCGTTTCATTTTCATAATACAGTTCTACATTTCTAAAATATTTTTCAGATGCATCCAATTGAAGATTTTGTGAAATGTTTCACTTTCTTACAAGAGTTAGGTCAATACTATCTGGAAGTGAAAGAAATTGAAATCAAGCATGTACTCTCTGATTTGTTTGTTGAAATTTTATTGCCAGTAGCTGCTGTTGCACGTCAAGAAGTTAACATTCCAGCATTAAAAACATTTGTAGAAAATTTATATCCAACAAGTTTGGAATTGGCTAGTAAGAAGAAACATATCCCAGTAAGTATCTTTTTGCATATATATTATTTATTACGGTATAAAGTTGTTGCTTATTACTGAACGACTAAAATTGATCAAAGTATTAAACCGCGTTTGATTATCATTTCATCACAACTTTTTTATCAACCTTAATGTTATCGGGATCTGAAAATTAGCAGAGGCGAAAATTATGGAAGTGCAAATAAAGTTGTAAGATCTGACAAATAAGTATCATATCCCAAGGTAGATCTTGAAGAATCCGTTTGTGATTGTAGCAAATCACTTGTGCTTAAATTAAGTAGTTACGCAATTATATCAGCTTATGGTGGTTAGAAAACAAAATGTTTCGAATATATTAAGGCCAGTCAATTCAAGTCATGATTTTGCATGATTTGTAAAAGAATTCAGCAGAGTGACTTTATATTTATTTAATATATAAAGACTGGTATGAGCGGGGAACAAAATAAGCATGGACCACAAATAAAGAAATGAAATAATAAGGAAATAAAGGAGGGTGGGAATTGCAATCAAAGTTAAGCAAATAAGTAAAAGTAAGCGAAAGTATTTTACAATAAGAAAGTTCAGTCTCAAAAATATAACCGGAAGTAATTCAGTTAGAAGAGTTCCTATTACTTTTACGAAGATTGTAATAGAAAACTAAACAAGGATCCTTACTATCTTTTATTTTCGACTCACGTCTAATAACTTCTCAAGCCACTAAGTTGCACCATTTCTAGGACCTGGATCGGGAAGTCTATATATTCAGTCATATGGGAGTTCTGTGCAATTTCCTTTCACACCACGGCTTTCAGTATGTGTGGGTTGATTTCATCTGTCACATTACCACTGGGAGTTACACAACCACCCAGATGCACAAACTTTACTACTAATTCTAGCGGATCACCCCAAAAAGTGTGTGCAAGCACATGTTCCCACCAGTCTTGCAGAAATGCTTTCGATTCAAAAAGTGCAAATTACATGCTATGATTATAGACACTGATTGCTAGCTGTTTAAGTGCGATTCGGATAGGTTGTTTATCATCGCACAGTAAGACAATATTATCTCTATACTCATGGTCATAAGGTCTCTCTAAGAAGTAGCTTTGAAAGGAGTATTCGGTGGTATTGTGTATCTGTTTCGAGAATATCATTGTTGGCAAAGTTGAAAAGGAATGGTGAGATTGGACAATTCGTCTTAATCCTCGTTGCTGGGATGGGGCAATAAGGAGAAATTGTTATATTCCTCACTCTGCCTGAGGTGTTTGTCCGCAAAGCTTTGAAGGTAATAATAAAATTATCGGCCACACCCTCCTTCAATAGGGAATCTCGAAGCACGACCCTGATGTCAGGAAACAGAACGATTATTGGCCTACAATAACTGTGGTGGTGCTCCAATACTTGGTGAAAAGTGGAAATGTGATGAACACATCTACGACCTGATGGGAAACAAACTTGCTCCTCGCAACTCAGTCTATCACGGGTTTTGCACCATCTACAGAGTATGATAGAAGCCAGTAGTTCGGACACAACCAAAAGTAGATATCTCTCGTTAGTTGTCAATTAAATTACGTAGGTCCTTTTTAAAGATGGTGATGAAAATTGCTTAATTCCAAGATGTTTTAATAGTCTCTGTTTCTCAAACTTTTACGAACAAACCAGTCAGTTGTCTGACCGGAGTTCTACACCATCCTTAAAAGGAGCAAGTGCTAGGTTGTATGTATGTAGTCTGGGATACTCTCCGGACATCCGAACCAAGCAAGAGGTAATCGTTTTACAATCACAAGGATTACAAACAAAAGATAGTCACTCATTGTTGATGATATTCCTTCACTTGACAGAGAAAACGACGTATTTAGCATCTTGTTAATGTTCTCAATATAATGTACAAGTAATATATGTATAAACCAGTAGTTCTGATAAGTATATCCGGTTAGAAGACAACTTTTAAGATTGTTTAATAATTACATACCTTCATTGTACAGAGTATTTCCTCAACTTCAGTAGCTTTTCAAACTGCATTTATACTTTTTTTTTCTCAAAGGCCTTATTCCCGTTAGTGACTTGCTTGCTGTGTGTTGGTACTAAATCATTTTTCTTGAATAATTGGACCAATTTCTTGTCTATCTGCTTAAGTCATCTTAAAAATCGGACTTCTAAAGTAGCTTTAGTCAGTTTACAATCATTATCCTGCATATTGTGGTAAGTTCTAAGCTGTTAGTTTAAATAATTAAAGTCAGTTGTATTATCATTCAACTGTTGGTACGATAACATATATGTACTTTTGGTTTGACATGTTAATCGTTTGTTCACCTAAATAAACGTTGTAAAGAAAGCAACTTATTTTATACTTTTTGTTCACCCATCTCATTAATTAACGTTTACATTCGTCTGAAGGATATCACGTATGAAATTAAGCTGTTAAATGTTTTTTACTGTTACACAGAGGGTCTTATGGATTTTTGTGTTATAATTGCAATCATATAAATCCAGTGGACTCTTACGTGTTACAGAGAACTTAAAAATTTCTGTTTGTTGTCCACTGATTACATTTTCTTTGTCGTGACCAAAAGGTTTTCTCTACGTATTATTGAATTATGGTTCACATGACATAATATAAGGACATAGTTAACTATGTGGTGAAATATTGTTTTAGATCTCAAAGGGAAGAAGTAACAGTGTTATAAATATAAAACTGTCGGAAAGTGGATCAAGTACTTCATTGTTAACTGCACAATCACAGAATTCAACGCTTATCGTATCTGAAGTTTTGACAGTAAACTAGTATTGTTAATCATTGTCCAGCATGTGGTCGGCCTTTTACCGCGTAGAGAAAAAATACATTATGAATTTACATCTTTTTGGTTAGAAATGCACTGGTTCCAGGTAGACAATGTTAACTACTATCGATAGTTGTGATCATTTATAGAGTTATTCATTATTATAAATGTCTATTTGATTCGTACGCTTAAACTTCTCAATAATACATATCCTCTAAATGTTATCACTGCTGCCTTTCAAATGATATTGCTACTTTAAAAAAATGGATTATTTGATTTATATTCAGGGTCTACATTGTACGTATCAAAGGTGAAAAACATACAGAAACTCAAACAAAATTACACACAATTATCAATAGTTTATTTCCGAAAAATCAGAAAATTATTCTACCAAAAGATGCACCAATCAATATATTTGTTCGTATTATTCAATTTATTGCTCATGTAAGTGACTATTGTATTGTACCATAATTCGGGTATTGATTCATTTTTTAAAATTTTTTGGCTTTGTTCACATTCAGCCAATTGGTAAATGAATTATTATTAATTTGATATTATTTTGTAACGTTTCATTGATAAATGCTATACATTTCAGTAGATCTATGTTCGAGTTTTTTAATTACTATTATTAAGTTTTTAACTGAGATTCTGTTCCATTTACTTGAATCCTGATAATTTACTCAGACACTTTCCAACAAGTCTGCCTCAAGGCCTTTTACATAAACCTGTGTTTATCTAATGCGTTGAAATAATCATAATATATTACATGTAATTGATTATTAGGAGAAAAAATCCTGTTACTTCCTATGAATGAACGTGTATTAAAGTGTTTTTAAGATCTTAACTTGACTGAGTGAACGAGTTGTTGGTAACATTTTGCACACCACTCGATTATCCAAATTAAACAAGCTGTTAGTGTAGTTGTCTACAGTGAAAATAGTAATCAGAGCATAGGAATATGCATTTCATTTATTTTTTTGGTGATTGTTTATAATCTGATATAGTTTAGTATTCCGATTCTTAATTTGCATACTCAAGACACTGTGTGCATAAATTAGCGACTGGAAAGGATACAAGCTAAACATTGCATAGTTACAAACCGGTGAAAAAATAATTGAAATGATGCTGATCACTAATAAGATTATTTGTTTTGAAAGGATGTTTAGGGGAGTAGATAGATAGCGATCCCACATATAAATCATCTGAAACTGGGAAATTGCATTAAGAAGTACACAAATGTTGTTTATTATTATTCAAAATTGTAACTTATTTTCTTATTAAGACTCAGCTATTCTTATTGCTTAGTATTATTAGACATTACTTCACTCGAAAAGTCCCCAAATCAGAACACGATTAAACAAAAACGTAATTATATTCCAACTAACAACGTTAGATGGAGGTAGGTATCACAATAAGAAAAACGTTATTACATTTATAATTTTTACGTAAGAAGATTCTGTAGTTTTCTCCAAGTATCTGCTGGCGTTGATTAGTTAAGAAGTGGCCGATCAACGTGCCCCAACGCATACATGTACGGAATATTCTTCAATCCAATCTATATCCCGCTAACACAGCCATTTGACTTGTCCTCCCGGTATCCCCCAGTGTCCGGAAATCCCATATACCTGTATTACTTGTTGCTCTGGTTGTCAAAAGTGGCATCGGCCTCGTGATTTACTGAGAATTTCAACCTTTACGTAATGGATTGGATTTCGTTGCTTAGTACTTTGTATGAAGTCCAGCACATGTTCATAAAATTAGTATCCCAAGTGTATTACTTAATTGTGGTGATGAAATCATATTTATCGGCCGAGATCTGAAAATATAACAGGTTGTTTTTTGCATAAATTATTGTTGACAATCTTCGTTACAAAGAAAGCTAGTTTACCTAATGGTTATCCCAATACTTTTCTTTTTGTTTGTTCCTTTCAACCAGGAAAAGCTTGAGTTTGCCATGAAAGAAGTTATCATTGAGCGGTTAGGGGTGAATGGATTACAGAAAACTTTAGTGATGCCAGAGGTGAATCTAAATTATATATATATATATATATATATATATATATATATATATATATATTCACTCACAGGATTACAAGCTAATGTATTTTCTATGTTTTTTAAATCCCATACATTCATAATGCTATAAGTGGATTATTAATGAGTTTTTACTAAATTGTACTTATTGATCCTGTTTTAGTGAATCAATTAGAAAGAATTAATCGGTTTGCTCTAGATGAATTGATTATCTCTGCTTTTTTCCACAGGTTGGATGACAATCTAAAATAAGTAATACTATACATGTTATAGTGATAAGATTTTCTGCAAGGAGAAGTAAAAGTTGTTATGTAGGATATGCATAAAAATCTCCAAATTTGCCAACTATTCAGTACTTTTATGGGTAATTTTTGGAATTCTGAGAGAACATGTCAGCTTTTTCGACAATACACTACCTAGAATTCTTTATACAGGTAATTCGATGTGGATTTAATCCGAAATGCTGTATTCCTTTAAGATCATTTCAAATTATCTCACTTTTGATCACTTTTTCACATGTTTCTAAATGATATCTCTAAGAATTAGAAGTAAGGATACCATTCAGAGATAAAAATGTGTGTTACAGTTTTTAATAAACAATTTTAACTATGTCATTATGTTATTTGTTGAAGTTGCACACCATCCAACCGGTTCTCTTCCCGTGCGTTTTCTCAAACTAATAATGGTTTGTAATTTTATCTTTTTCTCTACCAGTTATTCTTATTATTCTTTTTAGCGAATAAATGTAGGTATATGTGCATTCCTGCTGATTGCCCATGGCCTTCAACAGAAGGAGGGGGAACCGCCCATGCCTCAACAATGCATTGGTGCCGGAGGGGTTGGTGGTGGTTTTAGGCAAGCTGTTATTAAACGTTCTTTTCATGGTACCAATTTGAATGAAGCATTGGGTTCCTTATTAGGAATACAAAGTTATTTAGTACCTGTTCGAAGAGCATTTGAACATATTTTACGTCAGCTGGATACTCAAGTTTGTCGTACAATGATGTTGCCAAAACAAGAAGTTACTCAAAAAGAATTTGATGAGTTAATGACGTAAGCTGGGCTTAATTTTGTTGTTTTGGAGGTCTATGTTTCAAGTGTATGGTCTAGGTGTTTCTTTTCAGGCATTCTTATTACTTCTTTTTGAATAATGTTATTTTAAAAATCACATAGACATTTTAACTGTTTTATTTGACCGTTTCAAAATCTTTATCTTGACTACCTATTTTTTTGTTTCTGATTAACAGCTTTTGCATGTTTAGATATATTTAATGCATTTTCTTACCCTCGTGATATGGTGTAGTCATCACAGGTTTTGTGAATCCACTGTTCCCTTGTTTTAGGTAAATGTTTTCGTCCTTTTTGAACTAAACTAGGATTCCTATTATAATTGGCTGAAAGTTTATGCTATCATATTTCTTTTAGATATATAGAAGGTGCCATTAATATTTTATCACACCTTTCTTTCTATCAACTCAAAGATGCAGGTACACCCAGTAGATAAATCTCGAATAAGACTAAACGCGCGTCCTGGATTTCGCTGATAGATAAATTTCATCCATTCTGTGAACACTGGTGTGCATGATTCTCAGATTCTGATTTTTAGGCGTTGGTTGTTGTATGTTAGTAGGACATTAACTATTTATAGTTGGATGATCTCTGAGAAGTGTTTATTTTGTCCTTTAATGCTAATTGAATTTTATTCTGAAGTTGCAATACGGTCACTAGCGTTAATGAATCGGTATTGCGTTCACCATATTGAAATGATAAATATTTGGAGGTGGTCGATAGTAAACTGTGAACTTAAGTTTCTTGCTAATTGATGCGCGTTAACAAGAAGTAACTTTGTGTCGATATAACTTAACGGTAACGTCCGAAACTGTGATGTTAGATGACACAGGTTCAAATCTCACAGTGAGCATAGGGTTTTCCAGGATTGCAAGTGCTCCACTGTCAAAAAGCATAAAATCAACGTCTGAGCTTTCTTATTGACTCTCTTCAGCCATTTAATACGTTGAGTATTTGTCTGTATTCTTTTAAACACACCTGTCGGTAAAACACTGTCTCATGTTTCTGTTTTTTTCTCATAATAAAGAATAGCATCTTTAGACTTCTTGCTTAGCTGTTAGTCCATCCTATACATTCCATAATGCTTCATTAATACAGCCATTTTGAGGGCTTTTGTACCTAAATTCAGTTTTTACTATAACACAGTTTGGAGCCATAGACATGCCGGCATTAGTTATGTTTATGGAACATTGGCAGTAGGCTTAGCTGTTTCTAAATAAGTCATCTGCCTTGCATCAACACTTGTGTAAGTAGTAGTATCTCTACTCCATGTAGCAGAGAATCTTAAAAGATATTCCATAATATTAGAAACATCATCCGTCGTGGTTAAACAAAGGACAGGTAAAAGTGATTAAAAGTTCTATTCTCTCTCACTTGGTTGACACAGGTCATCAAGTCGAATTGAATAAAGCTTTTAAGGTTATCTACAATATCCCATCTAATTTGCCACATGGTTTACGAGTGCGCCTCTTGCACATTGCGGAAGCCATCGCAATCCATGTTCACAAACCTGACCTTTGCATTCAAAAGAGATTCGTACAACCACTTTCCCGGCCCTGGCCATCAGTTTAAGATTTCCTTCAAAAGAACTATTTTTCATACTTCTTCCATTTTTTTTAAATTTTTTAAACTTTTTTTTAAACTTTTGTAATTTTATTTCTGTTGCTTTTGAACTTAATAACTTCTCAACATTCATCTCTTGATTCTTACGTAACTACCATCCTATTGACCATCCGTTAAAATTCTGTTCCTTCTTTGTTTCTTACATCACGCAACTTAGCAACTTCTTGATCACTTTGAATATTAATAATCCTCTTTCTTCCAATTAATCAATGTTAATTTAAATGTCATTATGTAATTATTACGTAACGTATCCACTCGATGAGTATTATATTATTATTGTAAAACGTATATATATTAGTGTAGAGCCATGATGAAAAACTAATTGAAAAGAAATTTCTTCGCTCAATTCGTTCCTTCTTTATTAAACAAATATTAGTTTAATAACTGGAGACAAATGTAAACTAAATGTAAAATGTTTTCTGGATATACCTTGTCGAACTTCAACATTCAGTTTTTGTATGTATATAAATAATATCTGTTATAAATTACTTGAGTTCACTTAAACACGATAGTTACCCTTTTTTGAGTTGTTTTATCACCGTTTCTCATCATAGTTAGAGACGCTTGTCGTTTATAAACATCGGTGCCTCAAAAGTACTAAATAACCTTCAAACCCATTTTGCTAATTTACTAAGGTGATGAGCTTATTCTGAGCATCTTCTTCATTACATTTGAAAATAACAATGTTATGACTAAATCATAAAGTAAATTATGACTAATGCTATGTCAGTGACAATGTGCAATCTGTCCGCGTGTTTAGTATCCGTTTAATAATTTCAAATATTTCACAAGTATTTTATTTTTTAATGTACTATTTTCTTTCATTTTGCTCGGATAGAGCAGACCGTAAACCTAAACTGGATTTATTAAAGACCTGTGTTGCCTGTATTCCTCGTCTGCTTCCTATTGATATGACTAAACAAGAGATTTTAGAAATACTGGCTAAAGTTTGTCTGCATGTCGACGAAGACGTACGAAAAATGGCACAGCAAGCTATGGCCAACTTGATAGTCGAACTACCAGCTTATCGGGTTAAAACAATACAAGGTTAGTAAATACTTTAGTCAATTACTTCCACTAATATTGCTTGATGTATTTTTGTGGGCGAAATTACAATTACAACAAATATTCTGCCCATATCATATTCTGAATTCCATTGCATACTCTATTTCTGTTACCTTTACTAATAAGTGTTGTTTTCAACTGGGGTCAATGACTATATACAATAAAATGTTGATCTTTTTATAAATTCACGACCAATAATGTCATATTATCACCTACAATGCAGAGATCAGTGTAAAGCTATTCAGCGTAAAGTGAAATCGTGTGTTTGTATTTTGCGTCATTGTCCTTTATGTAGTCGATAAATTCAAAGGTATGTCGTGGGGTATGCATAAGTATATGTCTTTTCAAGGGTTTGTTGGTGATTTCGCTATACGGTCGTAAGAGGATATTGAAATGTTAAGAATTGGGTGAAGTGGTAACCCAAGTTTATCTACTGCGTGTAAATGTCCATCCAAGAGGGTTTAATAATATTATTTGATATGGTTGAAGAGAAGCAGCACTAAATGCATGAGAAGTTCCATGGTCAAACATCTTGTGGATGAAAGACATTCAATTTAAACAGACTCAGTGTTCGACATCATCTACAAGGTAAGTATAAATTTCCCAGACACAATGGGATCCCGTCTTCTTAACATACCTGAAGCCTTCTCCATGCAGGTAGCAAAGTCAAAATTATGAATACCACTGAAACTCATTCGGATAGATGCGCTGTGTTTCGCTGTAAGTTGAATGGCTAGATGATAATTGGAGTGAATTTCTTTCGGTTTTTATTACTTCTATAAGCTTGGGTTTTTATTTACTCAACTTAACAATCGAGCTACTACAGTTTACTCATCTAAAGTGCTTTCATTTTTTATCTGTTCATGAAAACTGTTTTGTTTATGAATAGTGATGAACAAACATCATGTCGTCCATTCATACTGATTTAAAATGTGAGAAATCAAAAGACATGATCGTTACTTACTTACGCCTGTTACTCCTAATGGAGAATAGGCCGCAGACCAGCATTCTCCAACCCACTCTGTCCTGGGCCTTCTTTTCTAGTTCCATCCAATTCTTGTTCATTTTTCTCATGTCTATTTCCATTTCCCGGCGTAATGTGTTCTTTGGTCTTCCTATTTTCCTTTTGACAAGTCTTATCGATTGAACGCTATATTAGTTTCCTAAGCTATTGTGGTACCCCGAAAGCTAGAACTGCACAGCGACTTGAACACCAGAGAGAAGACGCAAGTATAAGGGAAAATACTTTACTCCGAGGTTCATTTTATTACAGAAAATATAGGGTTTTATAATATATCTAAATGTCCTTGGGTCGCTGGAATATTCTGGAATGCCACTAAACATAGTAGCACTGTAGTAGCCAACCAATCAGAGCTTCCGCATGTGACGTTTCGCTACCTTGATATTTCTGGCCAAGACTCCAAATGAACGCTGATTGGACGAAACACTTCTTAGCGTTTCTTGATGCTTCGTTGTCTTTTGCAAGTGATTTCTGGATCACCCCAACACCTTTGGCCTTGAGGATTTCATGTGAGGGCTTGTCTTGTGATGCAGTTGGATGCTTTCCTCAATGTGTGTCCTATCCACTTCCAGTGCTTCTTCCTGATTTCTTCCTCCGCTGGGATCTGGTTTGTTCTTTCCCACAGTTGGTTGTTGCTAATAGTGTCAAGCCAACGGGTCCAAAGTATTCTGCGTAGACAACTGTTAATAAACACTTGTATCTTCTGGATGATGGCTTTCGTAGTTCTCCAGGTTTCCGCCCTATACAGTAGAACTATCTTGACATTTGTATTGAAAATCCTGACCTTGGTGTTGGTTGACAGTTGTTTTAAGTTCCAGATGTTTCTCAGATGTAAATATGCTGCTCTTGCTTTACTGATCCGCGCCTTCACATCTGCATCACATCCACCCTGTTCATCAACGCTGCCCAAATATGTAAATGTTTTTACATCTTCCAAATCTTCTCCGTCAATTGTGATTGAATTGGTGCATGCTGTGTTGTATCGGAGAACGGAGAATCCTGCTTTTCCCTTTGTATATATTGAGACCTACTGCTGCTGAGGCTGCTGCTACACTGGTCGTCTTCTCCTGCATTTGTTGTTGCGTTTGGGATAGAAGGGCCAGATCATCTGCGAAGTCTAGATCGTCCAACTGCATCTTAGATGTCCATTGTATCCCGTGTTTCCCTTCAGATGTTGACGTCGTCATGATCCAGTCGATCACCAGGAGAAAGAGAAAGGATGAAAGTAACCAACCTTGCCTGAAACCAGTCTTTATTTCGAACGACTTTGTCAACTGTCCTCCATGCACGATTTTGCAGTGTAATCCATCATATGAGTTCTGTATGATATTGACTATCTTCTGAGGCATGCCGTGGTGTCGAAGAAGTTTCCATAGTGTTGTTCTGTCCACGCTATCAAATGCCTTTTCGTAGTCAATGAAGTTGATGTAGAGTGATGAATTCCATTCAATTGATTGTTCCACAATGATCCGTAGAGTTGCGATTTGGTCTGTACACGATCTATCCTTACGGAATCCTGCCTGTTGGTCACGAAGTTGGGCGTCTACGCAGTCCTTCATCCTGTTTAACAATACCCTGTTGAAGACTTTTCCCGGTATTGAGAGAAGAGTGATGCCCCTGTAGTTATCACAGTTGCTGAGATCGCCTTTCTTTGGTATTTTGATCAGGAGTCCTTCTTTCCAGTCTTTTGGTACTTGTTCCTCATCCCAAATCTTATTGAAGAGAATGTGGAGTATCCTTGCAGTTAGTACTACGTCTGCTTTTAGTGCCTCTGCTGGAATGTTGTCTGTTCCTGCTGCTTTGCCACTCTTGATTTGCCTGATGGTCATGCTGATCTCTTCAATTGTTGGTGGGCCAACATTGATTGGGAGGTCCATGGGTGCTGCTTCGATGTTGGGTGGGTTCAGTGGAGCTGGTCGATTCAAGAGTTCTTTGAAGTGTTCTACCCACCTGTTTTGTTGCTCTTCAATGTTGGTGATTACCTCGCCTTCCTTGCTTTTCACTGGTCGTTTCGGTTTGCGGCGATTTCCAGAGAGTTTCTTTGTCGTGTCATACAGTTGTCTCATGTTTCCTTCTCTTTCAGCCTTTTTCGCCGTCATTGCTAGACCTTCCACATATTTACGTTTGTCGGTTCTGATGCTCCTCTTCACTTGTTTGTTTACTCAGTCAGTCAGTCAGCTACAACGTAGGACCAGGCACATATGTGCATCGGTCCAGGTTGCCATACCTCATTAGCACAACAAGATGAACACCGGATTCATAGGAGTGGTTAGGTCAAAGGTTGCAATAAGGATATAGTATAGGAAGGAAGAATTAGTTCGTAGAAAGAAAGATATGAAGTGATTTAATCTCTTAGTTTAAGGGAAGACAGGGAGTGTATACACCGACGCCATTGTGATCGATTCTGAGCCATGTCACCAAGAGTCTCCAACCATTGGTTACGATAGTCACGCGGACCCCAACCAAGTAGTCTGCATCTACCAACATGGCTCAGACTAGAAGTTAGTTACTTCAAGCACTGATGCCACGTTTTGGTTTGGCCGCCCCTAACTTTCTTACAACCATCTCCAATACCGGATAGCATTGCACGTCGTGGTAATCGGTGTTCAGGCATACGTAATACGTGGCCCAACCATCTCAGTCGATGAAGATTCATAACCTCATCAACTGATTTACCATCATTCCCTAATACCCTGCGCCTAACCTCACTATTACTTACCCGGTGATCCCAGAAGATGCCAGCAATATTTCTGAGGCATCTGTGGTCAAATACTAGTAGCTTATGGGTGTCTTCTACTCTTAAAGGCCATGTTTCGCTGCCGTAAAGTAAGACAGAACGGACTGCCGCGCAGTATACTCGTCCTTTTATTGATAGACGGATATCTCGCCTCCGCCAAAGGTGACGTAAGTTGGCAAAAGCCAAACGAGCTTTTCGAATCCGTGCTGAGATTTCGTCAGACACCAACCCATTAGGGCTGATCAGACTTCCAAGATAAGTGAAGTTGTCAACGCGTTCGACTACTTCACTCCCTATCCTTAGTTCAGGTGTTGACGCACACCAGTCCTGAAGCAACAACTTGCATTTAGAGGGAGAGAAGCGCATCCCAAACATTCTGGCATTGTTGCTTAGTGCTACCAGAAGACTCTGCATTTTGTCAGCGTCTTCACCAAACAGGACTATATCATCTGCGTATTCTAAGTCGATAAGTGGACCTCCTGGAAGGAGATCAATACCCGAGAATTCAGTCGACGAGAGTGTTATTTCCATCAATAGGTCTATGATGAAGTTAAACAAAAATGGAGAAAGTGGACAGCCTTGACGGACACCACTTGAAGTTGCAAAAGTAGATGACAGTTCGCCATAAGCTCTGACTCGACTAGTAGTGTTCGAGTAAAGAGCCTTCACAAGGTTTATGTACTTCTGAGGTACGCCTTTCAATGACAGACACTGCCACAGAGTCTCGCGGTCTACAGAGTCAAACGCTGCTTTTAAGTCAAGAAAGACCACCATCGTCGGACGCCGATAGGTATGCCTGTGTTCTAGAACCTGACGAATGGTGAATATGTGGTCGATGCAGCCACGACCAGGTCTAAAGCCAGCTTGGTTCTCTCGAGTTTGTAGTTCACGAGTCTTAGTTAGGCGTCTGATAATTATCGAGGCCAGTATTTTAGATACTATGTTTGTTAAACTAATCCCTCTGTGGTTGTCACAGGATGATTTTGACCCTTTCTTATATATTGGGACGATGAGTGATTGCGACCAGTCAGATGGGATAAAGTCTAATTCCCAGATCTTAGCTAAAATATTAGTCAACCTAATCGCTAAAATTGGACCACCATCCTTAAAGACCTCTGGAGCCAATCCATCTGGACCAGCTGCCCTTCCTCGTTTCAGATTAACTATAGCCTTTTGAACTTCAGCAAGAGTTGGGGGACCTACTTCAATGTTCCATTCACATTGTCTGGGAATGGAGGGTAGTTGTAGAGTAGCTGAAGGCCAGCTGGACTGTTCTCTGAAATGTTCCGCCCATCGTTCTAAGCGTCTGGACTGGGAGCAGATGAGAGTATCATCTTTTTCCGAAATAATCTCACTTACACTTGACTTATTAATTCCAGTTTCTTTTATTAGTCTGTAAAGCTGTCTTGTGTTCCCTATAGTCGCCGCCTTTTCCATCTCTTTTGCTTTCGTTACCCACCACTGCTCACGGTCGTTCCTTAGACTTTTTCTTAACCTAGATCTGATTTGTTTTCGCTCTTCATCATGTTCAGAACCTGATGGGACGAGTTTGCGAGAATCCATCAGTGTGACAGACCTTGAAGAAATCCACTGGTTCCTTGCAACTCTGTGGTTTAAGTCACTAATAGATGTCACTGCTGTTTCCACAGCTGATTGTATGCCCTTCCAAGCAACATCTGGGTCAGCCTCGTCTTCACAACTACCTAAGTGTGACCTCAGTTGTTCCTGGAACCTACTTTTGGTTTTCTCGTTACTCAACTCAGTTCTAACGGGTCTTTTTAATGTGGCTTTTTTGCGTCCAGTGAGGCGCAAGCAGATGCGTGCCCGTATTAGGGCATGGTCGGAGTCCAAGCAGGTACTCCAGAATGAGCGACAATCTTCTACCGACCCTCTCCAACGATGACTGATGGCAATATGGTCTATTTGAGTCCATCGTTGGTTTGGTGTAGGGGGTCGCCATGTTAGACGATGTCTCTCCTTATGCTTAAAATTTGTGTTTGCTAAAAATAAACGATTGTCTGAGCATAGCTGCAGCAGACGATCACCATTATCTGTTCGCTGTGTCGGAATACTAAAATATCCACCTAAATGCCTTTCTGTTTGGTTTAAGCTACCTATCTGAGCATTAAAATCACCTGCTACGAGTACTATGTCTGAGCGTTTAGCTTTCTGAAGAAGTTCAGAAAGCTTTCTGTAAAATTCATCTTTCACTTCATCTGAGCTGCAGTCAGTGGGAGCGTAGACAGAAACGACAAAAAGGCAACGACGTGTGTCCCTATCCTTCCGAGTTCTTACGTAGCCGTTCAGCCGAACAGCACATAGACGACTGTTGACGGGGATCCACTCTAGCAGTGCTTGTTCGGCCCTCATGCTTAGTGCTATGCCTACACCTGCCAGTCCACGAGAACTGGCCATCGGGTCACCAGATACACGGAGGGTGTATCTCGTTGACTCTCCGTTCTGCCGAGGTGAGGTCAAGTGAATGACCACACTGGGATCCTGTATGCGTGTTTCAGAGACACAGCATACATCAATGGAAAGAGACTCTAGGGTTTTAGCCAAGGAAGCCTGCTGACCGATTTGACATAGAGTGCGTACGTTGAAAGCTCCAATGTGTAGTTTGGAGCGAGGTTTCAGTAGACCTGGGACAGAGTTTTGAGCACTAGAATCGTTGGCTATGGTGACACTTGAGGAGGAAGCCGAAGGAGGAAGTTTAGGGTTGAAAGTCGATGTAGGAGGAATAATAGGAATTGAAGAGGAAGGTTGATTATGAATACAGTGGTCTTGGGTGCTGTTAGAGGTATGAGGGCGGTTATCACTTCCCGGTTGCCCACACCGTGGAAGGGTTCTTCTGGAGGTACCTGAAAAGGGAATTGGATTAGAGGCGGTCTCAGTGACCTGAGAGCGTGACCGCAGTGCCCAAGGGACAACTGCTTGAGGCCGGTCGCGCACGGCCTTTTCGTGGAAGGTTTTCGACGTGTTAGCTCCGTTCTTCAAAGGGCCTTACCGCCGGAGACGGAAATCCGTGAGGTAAGGTGAGGTGTGCATTTTTAGGGTCGACCTTTTCTAACCCCACCCCTCCTTGTGGGAAGGCAGCATCGCTGTCATGCTGGTTGTCTGAAGGAAACACCTTACTGCTGTCACACCTCTGTACAGTCAGCAGTACGACTTCGCCTTCGGACCTTGGGTTTGTTGCTTTTAGTCTTACCGCTCTTCAACCGACCTGTCTGACATGGTAGGACCTTGAGGAACGGTTGTTCCAGTCAGTATAGCTCGGTTGCTTCATCACGATAGGCAAGCCCGACCACCACGTCAAGGTAGCAACAACGGTCGGGAGGTAGCAACAACGGTCGGGTTTACTTCTGTGTATTCAGCTTGTGCCTTGGCTTTTTCTGCTCTTGTTCGGCTGGTATTGATTGCTGCCTTCTTGTTCCTCCTTTCTTGAATCTTATCCAGTGCATCAACAGTGGTCCATTCGTCGTGATGGTGCTTCTTGTGGCCCAGGACCTCATGACATGTTGAAGTGACTGCCTCTTTGATCCCCTTCCAGTTGCTCTCCACAGTAGTTCCTTCTCCATTGAGTAGATCATGAAAGGCCTGGAACTTATTGCTAAGGACTATCTTGAATTTGTTGAGTTTGTCAGTATCTTGAAGAAAGGCCGTATTGAACATTTGTGATATTGTCCGCCCCATTGTCCAGTGCTTCTTGAGTTTCAATTTCATCTTGGCGACCAGCAAGTGATGGTCTGATGCTATATCAGCTCCTCTCTTGGTTCTCACGTCCTCTATAATCCTCCTGAATGTTTTGTTGATGCACATATGGTCGGTTTGGTTTTGCGTGGTGTGATCCGGTGAAGTCCAAGACATGATCGTGTTGAAGTGTATATTCATTTATTTGAACACATAAACATAGGTACAAGGGGGCACCAAATACATATGCACCACACAATAATAATGAGGTTATGAAGAGATAGAGAATGGGGGGGTATAGTAAAAAAGAAGAACAGCAGTGAATAGAAATTGGCATATGAGAGTGAAACAATAATAGTAATCGGAGAAACAGTTCATTTAGGAGAAATCCAACCAGAAAGAACTCTTCCAACTAATGAGTTTACTGTCACTTTTATAAAGGCAATTTCGCCATTGATTTCTATTCTGAGCCATGTCTGACAATGTCTCAAGCCACTGTGTTACACGATCTATAGGACCCCAACCAGGGAGTCGTGAAGGACCAACAGAAGTCAGTCCTGTACAACTTCCTTTCATACTACGACATCATGTCATATACTGGTCATCTCCCATAGCGTCTGTAAATAATGCGCGACGTGGGATTCGCCGGGACGACATTCGTAAGACGTGCCCAAGCCATCAAAGTCGGTGTTTCAAGATGGCAACACTAGTTGAAATATCGTCTCTGTACCCAAACACACGACGCCGAACCTCTGCATTACCAATATGGTGTTGCCACTGGATGTCGGCAATCCTTTGGAGACAACGATGACCAAACACAAAGAGTCGTCTAACATCATCAACTGGGATGGGTCAGGTCTTACAAATATGGGCAGAACTGCTCTCACCGACGCGTTGTAGCTCCGACCGTTTACAGCCGCTTATTACCCAGAGTGAGTTCAGTTTCAGGGTTTTGCCAATCTTGTTAAAGTACTATGCACTTGAATGGAGCAAAGCACATGCCATACCTATGGACACTGACTGCCAACTGGCTAAGTGCGGATTGTATGGATAGGGTATCTTCACACATTGAGACAAAATCATCCACATACTCAAGATCAAAAAGTCTCCTGGTAACAGATCTTACACCACCATAACTTACATCTATAAGAGCTGTTTCCAGAACATATTTTAAGAGGAATGGCGAGATTGGACAACCCTACTGGCCCCCACTTCTTCAATTGAACAATGGAGAGAGGTGTTTATATGCCCTCACTCTGCCTGAGTTGTTATTATATAGGACTTTCAAGATGATAATAAACTCCCTACACATTCTTCTTCAATGGACAATTCCAGAGAATAGTACTGTCCAACAAATCGAAGGCGGCTCTGATTTCAAGAATTACAATTATTGTTGGCCTGTAATAAATATGACAGTGTTTTAGTATTTGGCAGAGGGTGACGGTAGCATCAGTACATCCTTGACCAGAACGAAGACTAGCCTGCTCCTCGCGAGTCAACCTTTCCCGGGTTTCAAACAATCTGCGAAGCATGACGGTAGCCAATAATTTGAACGCGATCGGAACTAGACTCTTTTTAAAGAAAGGAAAAACTATCGTCTCATTACAGGACATTGAAACACTAATTACCAAACCTTTACAAACAACCCAACCTGTTTCATGTTCAGGTCTTCACCATCCTTAAAAAGGGTCTGAGACATGTCATGTGAGCTTGATGAGTTGTGGCGCCTTAAGATTTTCAGTTCCTTGCGCACTTGCGCCACTTTGGAGCGATGAGTTGACATTGGCCAGGGAGAATATAATAATCTGACCGATGTGTCTGGAGCAACAGGGTCATCTAAATTGTTCCTTGAAAAACTGATCGTCGTCCAAGACATCGGTAGATGTTATTGATTGGCATCCTGTCAGCTTCGCAGACTGTTTCACTCACACCAAACTTCTTGCGTCTACTGACTCAAATGAGTTGATAGGGCTTTCTGCAGTTACCGGAAGCTACTCCTTTTTCTAACTCGGTCGCACGTTCCGATCATCAGGCTTTCGGTCCTTACGCAAATTTTGCACTATTTCATTACGTAACAGTTTTCGTTCATAGTCAAACTGTCGGTCGCTCGGAGTAGACCGACTTGCCTAAATAAGTTCTAAGGAGCCTGTTGAAACTCAGCGCTTGTAAGTGGGACGTTTCGCGAAGCGGCAAACAACTTTACTCGCCTTTTCCGTGGCGTCAAGCAATTGTAGCCAATGCTCATCTATGCTTTCATCTAATCTATAATTTAAATTGACATACATAGTGTGGCACCTACTAAATCCTATTTCTACCCATTTTTCGTCAATCCACATGTCTAATTCTTCTCTTTTTTTCTTGATGATTTTCAGTTTTTATACAATTTATTCAGAAAAATGTAGCTGATACATCACCTCACCAACTAGATAGCTGTCTGAAGACTTTATTTCATCTATTAAACAATTGGAAGTTAGCATTGCAAAAGGTAAGTTGTATCTTGGTTTGACTTCACATCCGAAACCCTTTCTCTGAGCTTGTCACTAGTAATCAGTTATTATTATTGTTATTATTGGTGCCATTTATACTCTATATTTTCCATCACAAGCTGACCCTAATGTCCTTACTACGTAGTTTTCTTGATTGAAAAATAATTATGTTCTCGCTGTATATTAAATTAAACGAAACAATTGCCCAAATTGATTTTTCGGTTTTCATCATAAAGCACCTGAGTGTAAATTTTTAAATTCAATATTACGTTTCGGAGACTTTCTACCCAATTGCTTCTGTTTGGTAGCTTACTCTTATATTATGCGTGACTTTAACTACTGAGAAACGTGAATCATTCGTAGTTACCAATAAAATTTCAAATTTCTCAAATTATCTATAGTCACTGAATTTTATTTTATTTTTGTATTTTAGGATGGAGCCGTAACACCTAATATGGCTGAAAAATCAGCTTTATATGAAGCTGAAGGATTTGCTTTGGTTATGTTGTGCAGTTGTCGTTTAATTACTAGACGTTTATCTCTTCATATTCTCAGGAAATGTCGAGCTTTATCAAATTTAATCCAATCCGCTACTTATGATCAAACGTTAAAAAATCCAAATGATTCACGGGAATTGTGTTGTATAGATATTTTAGACCGTTCAGTGCCAATTATTTTGAAATATCTTTTACCTATATTACCTTTAAGCGAAAGAGTAAGATAATAGTCTATTCGTTAATATTTTAAAAGTAAACTATTCTACTTTAGAAAAGTTTCACATACTCTTTAATTGATTGTCAGTTGTCTACTTTTAATTATTTTTGTATGTACGAAATTTACTTGTATAGTTTTTCGCGGTCGAAAAACTTACTACTAGTATTAGGATAGAATCTTATTCCTCTGGAGATATACTATAGTTTTTTGTGTATGATGTCTAATACGCCAGAGAATAAATAAATTTTTGCAAGTGTATCAGCTGTAGTTTAAATTACTTGCAGTCTAGGTCTAAATTTTCCAAACAAGAAAACAACTGCGAAATCTGTGCTAAGTAATAGACGAAATAGACTAGCATTTAATTTAGAGTTCCCGGCATACTAAAAAGTAACATATAAGGATGTCTGATAAGTATTTAGTAAATTACATTTCTCAAATTCATTAAAGGAACACTTAATGGTTACTATATGTGCCCGATTAACTATTGAAAAAGAGAAATTGTTTTATTGGACAGCTGGTTTGATCTATATTCATTGTAAGGAGTTGTATCCTACTATTGGAGAGCTTATGTATATATAACACTGGTTATACTAATTTCTTGTTTGTTTTTATAAATTTCAGTCCGCTTTGTCTTCCGTGTCTAACATGGATTTTTCTGTCTTCACGGAGCGCTCTCATCCTGTTTGGTTTAGTGGTAGTACACTGCCTGTATATTCACCTGTGGTTTTACCAGCTAATTATTTGAATAACACTCAATACTCTGGTTTAATGTCTAACAATGACGTGCAACAAAGTGAAGAAGTCCGATTTAATGGTTTATCAAATCTTCACGATCTTAACAAATTAAACAATTGTAATAATAATAACAACAATTGTAATACTAATAATAATCCAACTGTAGGAAATCCAGTGACCGGCAACACAAATGAGAAATCTAAACCCGATGAATCTGTTGTACAGGAATCATTTACAAAAATCGGTAAGCACTGACTATTATTTTCAATTAAAGTTTGTTTCTGTTCACTGATTTACTGCATTATAAACATAAATTGATTACCAGCTGATTTTCTAACTATCCATAACAGATAAATGTTGATTATTTTGTGTACAATCTTCTGAGTTTGATGTTTTAGTACATATTTTCTCTTTAGGAACATCTAACATTGTTATTATCAGAAGATAATAAAGTTACTCACCTCGTATTGCTACTGAAGACTAAATGAATCCATAAATGACCTTCAATATTATCGTGTATACGAAACTATTTATTGCCTTTGATTCAGCCGTTGAACAAATAGTAGTACATTTCATGATGTCGGGGCTAATTTGTGGAGAAAACAGCATTTTAATGATATATCTAATGTGTTTAGATGAATGGTTTGTATTTGTTTCATCAATGTTTTTTAGAACTTTTTAAAAGTACAAACTGTTGAATGGTATTCTTCTTTTGTGAATTGCTGTGTTCTTTTTGTGATGACTACCCTACCACTAGTAATCTAGTATCACTAATAGATATTTCATTCTTGCAACAATTCTGTTGCGTCAGGATGTCGAATTTGTCCCAATCTTCATCTACCTCATTTATTAACCGGATTAACTGAAGGTTAGTCTTTTTTTGGGTTTTGGTACTCGTGGATTGCAATTTTGACCTTCACTGTAAAGTGAAAAGGAAGCGAAATTTATAACAATGATAGTGTCGTGTCTAACAGCTAACTTGAAGCTGTGTAACTCATAAACTGAAATGCTTGATATGTAAGCCGTTCTCACTTTTCTTGTTTTAATTTTATTCTCTATGCATTGTGGTGAACATTTCAGATATGAGTTGTTATGCTTAACATCTCAGGATATGTAAACTATAGAGATGACTGAGAGTTTGTAAAATCTCTTGGAAGTTTCGACAATTCAATAGTATTCGTACTTCTTTTCTATATTTACTTTTACTTGATCTTGTTCCTTGTTTGTTTCCATCTTCTATACTTTTTTCCATATCATCTCACAAATTCATTCATATTTTTCCCAGCATTACAATGCTCTTTTTACTGATGAATGATTTATTGTGCATAGGGTTTAAGTTTTACTGTTGTTGAATATGTTAACAATAATTATAACGCTACTAATTCTAAAACGTTGAAGAATGGTACATCGGCCTCACATGATCATTATATATTTAAATATCACGTTCCTCGGCTAAGCAAGGGTATGTTAAGGTCAATTAAAAATTCTTATACTTGCTCATCTAATTGATACGTAGTATCAAGTAGACATAAATAAGGGCTTTCAAGTCCTTCATAGGATCCCATTAAATTACCCGCCTGGTGTACGAACACGTCTTTTAAATATAGCTAAATAATCGGCATCCACTTTAAGAAGCCCGACTCATATGTCAATGAGAAATTTGTTAAATTTGGCTATCACAATAGCCAACATTATAGTATATTAATAATAAGTTATTACTTTCTCGTTTCCCATTATCTTTCGCAAAAATAATTTCTGTTCGCCTCCTGTTTTTGGATAACAGTAACGTTTTTTAAGCTTACGTTACTGTTATTAATTTTCGACTCGTCATAAATTTGTCAATTCTCTTATATCATGCAGTTTATGAATTCTTTGACTACATATTCCAATTCATTCTTTTATTACTCAAGACATTTAAGTACTCATCACTTCAAACCATCTTTTAATCACTGTGCTCTTTTTGAATTCAAAATACGAAATTTAGCGAAAAGATCTATTTTCAGAGAATTTATTGTCGAGTAATACTTTTGAATTTGTAGTATTATTGTCTAACAGACCATCATTTGCTTGGTATTGATTTCATTGTTATTGTTAGACGTATATCTCAGTGTAGAACCAGTTGTATACTTTTTTGATAGTAGTGTTGAAAAATTTTCAGTGTTTAGATTCATATCAAGGACGTGTTTTAGATTTAATTATTTTAAAAAGAACTCTGGTTTACTGAGGGAATTGTTTGTCTATCATATAGAAGATATTTTTCAGAAATTATTACATACATATCTACATAGTTGATAAATTATCACTCACTGCTTTTTGTATCTTTATAAAAAAAGCGATACATAGAAAATCAGGTAATAATTACTTTGTGTTTTAGTTGTTTTTATAATTCATGTTATGTGTGCATTATAAATTATTGTGTGGATATGCAGCTTTTTGGTGAGTTTGTTATTATCTAGACTTTATGTTATAGTAAGTGATTCGTGTTCATATTTATTTTATTTGAACACATAAATATTGGTACAAGAGGGCACCAAATATATACGCGCCACACAAAACAATGAGAGTTCTAAGGGAAAAAAGGTAAGGAGCGTAAAAAATAACAATAACGAACAAATTATTGTAAGGTAGTGTAGTAGTAATAAAAAAATAATAATAGTAATGGGGGAAACAGAAAGATAAAATCAGAAGAAATCTTTCAGTTAAGAAAGAAACAACCACTTTTTATGAAGAAAGTAAAAGACGGTTACAGCAGGATCGCCGCTGGCTTCTATTCTGAGCCATATCTGATAACGTCTCTAGCCACTGTGTTGCACTATCTCTCGGACCCCAGCAAGGGAGTCGTGAAGGACCAACAGAAGCCAGCCCTTTGCAGCTTTCTTTTATACCACGACACCATGTCACACTGACCACCTCTCCGCTTTTTCCAATCAGTCCCAGAGTCGACAAATAATGCACGACGTGGAATTTTCTGGGACGACATTCGTAGAACATGTCCAAGTCACCGAAGTCGGTGTTTCAAGATGGTGACACCAATTGAATTATCATCTCTGTTCCAGAAAACACGATGCCAAACCTCTGCATTACTAACATGGTGTTGCCACTGGATGTCAGCAATCCTTCGGAGACAGCGATGATCGAACACAGAGAGTCGTCTAACATCCTCAACTCGGAGAGGCCAGGTTTCACAAGCATAGAGCAGAACCGCTCTCACCGACGCGTTGTAGATCCGACCGTTTACAGCCAGACTAACATCACGAAGGCGTCGAAGATGGTCTAGATTGGTATAAGCCGCTCTGTCTATCACTATACGTGTATTGATCTCATCACTCAGGCCACCACCAGTATATACTCAGCTATCGGATACACAAACGTTTCGACTACTTCTATCTGCTCACCATCCAGGGTGAGTACAAGATTAGAATCCTGCCAGTCTTGTAGAAGTACTTTGCACTTCGAAGTTGCTAAGCACATACCGTACCTACGGACATTGATTGCCAACTGATTAAGTGTGGCCTTTACATTATCGCACGGTAAGACAATATCATCCACATACTCAAGGTGGAGAAGTCTTTCTACAGGCAACAGATCCACACCGCCATTACATACATCCATCAGAGCTGTTTCCAGAATGTCGATAGCAAAGTTGAAGAGGAATGGTGAGATTGGGCAACCCTGTCTAACCCCAGTGATTGAATGGAACAATGGAGAGAGGTGGTTGTATGCCCTCACTCTGCCTGAGGTGTTTGTATATAGGGCCTTTAGGATGTTAATAAACTTCTTAGACACACCCTTTTTCAATAGACAATCCCAGAGAACATTCCTGCCCAACGAATCGAAGACAGCCCTAATGTCGAGAAACTACGATTGTTGGCCTTTGATAAGTATGACGGTGTTCTAACATTTGGCGGAGATTGAAGATATGATCAATACATCCTCGACAAGAACGAAAACCAGCCAACTTCTCGCGAGTCAATTTTTCTCGGGTTTTGACCAACGTGCGAAGTATGACGGAAGCCAATAGCTTGGACGCAATCGGAAGTAGACTTATCCCCCGATAGTTGTTACGGGAACGACGTGAACCCTTTTTAAAGATAGGGACAACTATCGACTTATTCCATGACGTTGGTACACTCCCGAGCTCCCAAACCTTTGTAAACAATGTCGTCAGTTCCATAGTCAGAAAGTCACCACCATCTTTAAAAAGGGCCGGAGGTAAGTCATATGGGCCAGGTGATTTGTAACGCTTCAAGTGTTGGAGTTCCTTGCGGACTTCCGCCTCATTTGGTGGATCAGTCGTCACCGGCCATGGAGGGCAGGACAGTCTGACCGATGTTGCCGGAGCAGCAGGCCAGTTGAACTGCCCTTCGAAAAATTCTGCCCATCGTCCAAGACGTCGATGGATGTTAGTGATTGACATCTCATCATCCTCGCAGATTGTTTCGCTCACACCAGACTTCTTGCTGCCAGTGGCTCGGACGAGTTGAAAGAGCCTCCGGTAATTACCAGATGCAGCTGCTTCTTTCAGCTCATTAGCACGCTCCGACCACAGGCTTCTCGGTCCTTACGCAAGCTTTGCCCGATTTCGTTACGTAACATCCTTCGTTTGTGGTCAAACTCACGGTCACCCAGAGTAGACCGACGGGCTTCGATGTGTTGTAAGGAACCTGAAGAAATCCAGTGCTTAAAAGCGGGACGTTTCGCGAACCCACAAGTGACTGTACCCGCCATTTTCATGGCGTCATGCAATTGCAACCAATGCTCATCGATATTTTTCGGTGGAATGGTAGCTAGTCTAGAAGCTAGCTCGGTTTGATACTTACTTGCAACAAAAGTTGCAACCAACTTGCTGACTTCAATCCTGTGGTGTTGGTCACTTTGTTGGCCAGGTGGCACATCAGCGATGACTGTGCCGGAAGTTAGTGCTGGCCAGAAACAGGTTGTGGTCTGTGCACAGTTGCAGTAGACGGTCCCCGTTATCTGACCTGCGACCAACAAGTCCCCATCGGCCACCTAAACGACTCTCTTTTGTGCTTAGACGCCTGACCTGAGCATTCAAGTCTCCGGCTAGTACTACAATATCTGTCGAACACAATTTTTGGAGAACAGTTAGCAGCTGATGGTAGAATTCATCCTTGATTGCATCCGGGCTGCAATCTGTCGGAGCATAAGCGGAGATGACGAAAAGACATCGTTTCTCACACCGATTTCTACTCACTTTGATGGAACTTTCTAATCTAACAGCACATAACCGACTGCTAATGGGGATCCGATCGATTAGTGCTGTCTCAGCTCTAGCGCTTAGTGCGCCAGCAAGACTAGACCAAGATGTCACAGGGTCCCCGGATAAGCACACGTAAAACAAGCTTTTTGAAGCGACATATGGAGAGCGAATTTGTAGTACTTCACCGGAGTCTTAAATACAGGTCTCGGATAGACAACAAACGTCGATATTAAGACTTTCCAAAGACATATTCAGCCCTATCTGTTGTTCGACCTGCATAAGTGTGCCAACGTTGAAGGCAGCCAGTTTGAATGGTGCACGTGGTTTCAGAAAATCTGCTTCAGTATTCGTATTTGGTGGTAGCATACAATTTTCAACCAGGCAGTGATTCGAGAACTTTTAGTTAGAGTCGAGTTTCCACCATAAGCGAGCTGCTGTATAAGTCGAAAAATAAGGATACACAGAGTGGAAATAAAAGAGAGTGAATAAATTACGTAAGTAATAATAATAATGTGAATCGTTTGATTGTTAATCGAAGTAAGACAAGTATTTTCCATAAATATCGACATTTTATCATATTTGTGTGTGGGCTGTGATACTTCTTGGGTGCCCAGACCGAAGCAGTTGGTTTTCTTAGGGGGCCATACCTCGAGCCTTTGACCTAAAGGTCTGACCCACAAAGCAGTGAAGCATCGTGAGAAGATGCAGTCCCATGGTTGCCGGTGACCGAAAATTGGTTCATATGCCATTTGTTCCCTCAGGATACTGGAGCCCATGTGCACCATTGATTTGGTTTGGGATCCGGTTAAAGCGCCGGATATTCGCTTTTCGTCCTCTCATTTTCGTAAACAACGCCCCCGCCACAAGAAGGCAGTGAGTAGGACTTCCCTGACAGAGGCTATATACGCGTGGCCATGTGAGAGCATTTCGAGAGGGAGGGCGGGCCCACCCCACTCTCAGCCATATCAGGGTATATAGCTTCTGAGTGTCATGGTCCATTCGTCGTGGGAGGAGTATATTGAAATCGTTATTACCAACAAGTTATAGTATAAGACTATTTAATTTTCTTCAAGAGAAGATCACTTCAACCAGTTGTTATACAATGCATCTTGAGAATATCTATGCAAAATGGTTTTGAATTTTATTTTATATGCAGTCGTATTTCTCTGTAAGAAATAGTATTAGTTTATATAAAAAATACTATTGCGAATGCTCATTTAATCTGCATTCAATATTCATATTTGAAAATAAAAATGGTGTACAGTGCAAAATAATTTGAAAACGAACGAAACGGATTAGTTGGAGTATCTGAGAGCTAGATAATATATATTTCAGTACATTTCCCACCACTGTTCTTCAGAAATACACATGAAGTGTAAAGTAACTTTTGACTTCAATATGGAATCGAGTTGTTGGCGACTATAGTATAGTTTGTGCATTTGTTTTGCGAGAAATACTACAATTAGTTACCGAAGACTGACAGGTTATACCTACTTCTACTTTCTAATTTACACCACAGAGGTTTAGAAATTAGCGATGTTCTACTCATAGAACCGTCTCCTTCAAATGGTAAATTTTAGTGTAAACATCTTGTTACTCATTGGCTTGATAACACTACTGAACTTCCAAAATATATTTTTATACTACAGTTATAAGCTACAAACCAGGATTTGATTAGATCCTTTCTGAGTAATTAAAATTCTGTAATTATCTATCGTTCGATTAACTGTCAGTATGTACTACCTAGACAGAACTGGGTCCTAATGATTGTTTCTGGATTTACTGACACTATCACTGATCGCATGAAACACGTCATAGTTTTACCTAAATCTTAAAAAAGATGTATATTATATCTGAAGTGTTGGAAACTTATATTTGTCTATCTTGTTTATGTATGAGGTTTCCAATCCTTTTTTGGACCAATCAGCACTTTTGATTATGTGTGGATTTCTGGTATAAACTTATACAAGTTTTATTGTCTTTCAAACAAAGAAAAAACCATAAGATTATTGAAGTTTTACTCAGTCGAGCGAATTTCAAAATCTAATCTCTAAATCAAACTTCACTTTCAAATAATTCATCTAAATATCTTGACATCATATTTACATTTTCATGAAAGTAATTCTTTTAAAATAGCTTCTTTATTCGCATTAATTTATTCGAAAAATGATTACAAAAATTAGAACAACTTTTATAAGTTAACAATATTGTTTTCAATTAGATCAAGCCTTATACTAATATGCATTAATATTTATATGCACGGATATTAAAATTATCAAACCAATCAAGGCAGTCAATAACAAAAATGAGATAGACTGCGTAACTAAACACAATAAGTAAAAAGTCCAGATTGATGGTGTGATCACGGATGTACTGAGATCGATAAGAATAATAAAAGCGTGAGTAAATATTTCCAAATAAGAAGTTGAACAGAATGTTGAAAAAAATAGATATTAGAATAATCATCAATGTAAATGTTTAAAATTGCTCGATAAGAGATGTTCAAATAATTAGATAATGAAGAATATATGAAAATACATGAAATATATGAAACAAATAAACAAAGGATATAGAAAATGCTAATGATAATTCTTAGTAAAACTGTTTTTTAAGCCTTTTTTAGAACACATGGGGAGATGTACTACTTCGTTGACGCACTAACTAACTTGATTGGTTATATATTTTTTAATATATGCATATAAATGTTACGGTATATTAGTGTGGAGCTCATTGGAGGATCTCACTGAAAACAGTATAATTTTCATGATGAGAATTTTTAAAATTTTAATAGGGTTATATGTTTCAGAGTGATTTTGACAGATCATCCGTCAATCTGCTCGCTTTGAATCCTCAGGGCTTTATCATCAAGCGATAGTATCCTTATTTCCTTATTGTTCTAAATTTTATCGTGATTTGTTAATGAAGCCTGACATTTTTTCTGGCTGTTTAATTATTTTATCACGTTATTTCCATTTTTAAATCATATTTAAATATGATAACCTCTTACGGGTGTTTGCTGGTGAATGTAACTAACAATTAATATTGTTCACCGATGAGCAAAAGGGTATCTGATTTTCTATCATGTATCGATTGTTTGACCGAATTAAGGTCAGCCCTCCTTCTTTTAAGAGGTCTTTTTTATCAGATTTTTTTGGCACATGGTGAAAATCATTGTCTATTACATGACAGTTAAGTGGTGAACCAAAAGCTAATCCGTCTCTTTAGATGTTTTAACACCAAAGTTTCATGTATGCTAAAAAACTTTCCGTTGAATGCACATTTTTTGACCAGTTGGATACCAGATGGATTTTCTTCTGAATCAACCTTTTTGGGGTTGTTTTATATATATATATATATATATATATATATATATATATATATAAGGTATTTTGTGAATTCGGTTTTTAAACGTTGTGTTTACTGTCTGAATGTTTTACAAGAAATAAGGTATCAGGACATTCATTTTCATCATTTGAAATTGTTAAGCAGTATGATAATCCATGAAGCTTGAGGTTTATTTGATAGTGAGGATTTCAGTTACATAGGAGATAATCGGTTATAGAAAAACAGTTCTCAACACGGTCTGAACAAATCTTACTTCATCTTGTTTTCAGGCTACGCAAAATATTCTCACTCTGAACTTCATGAATCAAATAGGTTTCAAGTAACTTATGCTACTAAGCTTTCTGGATTCAGTCGGGGTCATATAACACAGTTGCTTTTAATGACTAGGGGTACTAAGAGAAACAGGATGTTTTTTTTTCTCTCCAATTTTTCATAAAAAAATGCCTCCACTTTGAAAAATTCATTCTAAACGAATTGTGTTATGTGTGTAGAACTTATTAGACTAAATAAGTCATAAAAATTTGAGCGAGGTAAATTCAGTTGTTTTAGCTGTCAGTTACCTCCGGAAAAGCGGTATACTATGTTTCCCATTTTCAATGGAAGAATGTTCGTGATTCAACTATGATGTACATGATAATTTTATATAGTACATTTCAGATGACGTTAGTGTTCCTCTGCAAACTTTTGTGATTATTGAAACTGTTAAGATAAATTTTCCCAGTTTAATTTGTTTAAGACCAATAATTTTAATCATATACTTGGATTTTCTTTCGCTTTATTTGACTACTCTAGTCAGACCGCAAGTTTCTGGGTTATTCATACCTTCGAAATCTTTTGATTTCCGTAATATACAAACTTCGAAGTCGTATTTATCTACAACACCTGTTCATCGAAGAGCATCTCAGTATAATCAACAAATTCAGCATACTCAACAAGCTTACATTATGCAGCCTGCACAAGAACGTGTAGCTGTCACAGATGTATGGGCTACTTGTCTTTCTATTGTATTCAACTCATCTAATTTGCCCACAAGTTGTCCCATGGCCATCAAATCTGCTTGGTCAATATTGTTTCAACGAATAAGTACTATTTTTCCTCTAATTGACCCAAGGCAAGTCCCTTTACTTACTTTTTTCATGTCCATTAAATCGAAGCTAGTCATTTAGTTCAGTCTATTTTCTTTTTATATTTCTGTTTTCGTTAAGGTTTGTCTTTATAAAAAGAGAAATGAAGTTGTTCCCGACGCAACGTTACTCAATCAACAATTATTTGCTAACCGAAAACATTATCCCAGTACTATACGACATGGTGCTATTTTTCGAGTTATTCTTTTTAGGAATTTTTCTCTGTGTACTTACGCGTTATAAAGGTTTTTTCACTTTTTAATACTGTACTTGGTATATATTCTACAGATATATATTTACTGAAAGCCCACTTATTATATTTCACTTTTACCGTTGTCCAAAAATATTCCAACAGCTTTGTCTTCAGACTTACATAAACAGTCGTTGTATTGTGAACCTATTTTTATAACAAATTTGCTGTCATGAAAGATTCTAACCTTATAGGTACTGATGCCGTTTTATTTTTTAATTTTAAAGATCATTTCTCGTGTAGACGGTAATTGTTCATAAATATTTTAGCGCACAAATGGCTGAAAATCGAGCATCCTCGTTACTCCGAACTGGAAGTAAGAAACCTGCAAATGAACGTGAACAGTTCATTCCTCTTTGGCATAATTATGTCGTTGTTGGATGTTGTATAGCTCCGAGCTCTACTGGTTTACGGATTTCGAAATCTCCAGATACGCGCTATCAGCCTGGGTTCCATCTACAAAAGCATTCACTTGACTTTTCAACAAAAGGGGATTCTAATGAGTAAGCTAATGTTTTTTTTCTAATATATTGGTATTCCTTTTCAATAAATCTTATGAATGCTTTGTTGAGTGGAAAATAAACGTCATCCAGACTTGCCGATTCTAGGTATTCAAAGATTATTCGTTCAAATGTTTCTACAACTTATTGTAAATAACTTGTTAATTTAAAAATGGAACAACTTATTTTGTTTCGTTTTCCTACATTGCATTGATACTTTTTGGTAATAACTGAATTCACTTAAGTACTAAAGTATCTTTATCTGACCCTTTGATTTTGAAAAAGCTCTTAAAAGCTAGTTGAATAGTCTTATCAGTTTGTTTCGATTGATTCATCATTGTCAATATCATCACATACTTTTATGTGTTTCACTTAACTACCACACGTATCGTCCATTTTTCCTTCTATTTTTACTTCTACTTCCACTTTTTTATCAGCTATGCAGCAAGTTTTGTCTATAAACATTCACATCAGTCTTTTAATTATTTGAAACAGGAAAATTCCCTACATCAGATCGATAGGTTCTTCAAAACCAGTACCAAGTTATCTATCATAACTCACTTATACAGTTTTTTTCTTTGAAAAATATTGCTTAAAATCAAGTATTTTTGTAGCTTAAATAGTTAATTTTGTTTGCTGAGATTAATTTAATCGTAACATATTGAATTTAGTATCTTTTTGAGTGATTGACCATAATATCGGTAACAGTTTATATTTTCAATTGATTTAAATATTACAGCTATAATTATTAACTCGTGCGTTATGTTTTTTCTTAAAAAATGGAGTATTTTTGTCTATTGATAAACTATTATTCCTAATATATGTCTTTCTGTTTGACAGATAGCTATAAATTCTACCACGGACTTGAACAGATTCTGAACTGAATATCTCGTAATTTTCATATGCGATAGTATTCACATTTGAATTAGAGCCATTCAACTGGTCGTAAAGGACTTAGGTCCTGATGCATATGCATGGCTCTGTACATTGCACATCGTCATAGTGAAAGGAAATTAATAATATATAAAATGAACGAGTAGTAACAAACTGCATGGTGGAATATTGTACTAATACAATAAATTGTGGGGATTAAACATATGGAACATTGATGAGTTCAATGTTTGATGGGAAAATTATGA